AAATTGCGTTGTACTTGTATTCTACAGGACTTGGCAAAAAGCCAAGAGAGCTGCACGCGACGCCGCGCGGATGGTGTTAGCATAAACGTGAGGGCGGTGTAGCAAGGAATTACGACTTTCCCACGGCCCCGTACTCTGACCCCGTGCAGTTTTGGGACCACGACACATCGACAGCTGGGGGGCTGATAGTCTCATACACCCTCAATGTGTTTGAGCGTACCATGTGTCTTTAAGTAGCATTAATGATATTAATATTAGTAAATGGGTCGGAAGAACACTGAGGGTGTTTGGGTAAAATTGTAGATGTTGACCGAGGACCCGCTGTTCAGCGCAGAAAATCAAAGGGTCAAAGGAGAGGAGTTAAGGGTCGCTCTCAGCCGCCCTTAATGAACATCGAACTGTCGGAGCAACGTTCTCTTCATCAACGCCGGAGTGTTCAGATAACCGGAAAAACGGCTAACATACTTGAGAACATTTGACGTCCCCAGGGCTCAATTTTCAGTGAAGGTGGCGCAGAGTGACCTCTGCTCAACGCTTTGATTTTCTAAGCTGAACAGCGGGTTCTCGGTCGCACACCTACCATTTACCCCAACACTCTCAGTGTTCCTTCCGACAATCCATTTACTAATATTTGTCTCATTAATGCTATTGAAATTGGCTGCGAAGTCGACGCAAGTGGACTCGGAATCAGCCTGCAAGCGGTAGTGGATGCTTTATCCTGGCGAGTAGATGTCGAATACGCTCAATGGTCTTCCAAACGCTGACTGCAGTGTGGTGATCACGATGACACTGTGGGTCTAGAAACAGAATGCTTGGGAAAGGCACATCTGTATGCCGACATTTTTCATCTTCTGGCAACTTTTTTCGGTGTGCAAGATTCCAGTCTTCTTCCAAGTCACTGCAAGGAGCAGAAGGCAGTTTCGGCACCTGAAAATATTGAGAACTCCACAAAACTCGAAAAATGTGAACAGTATGGTGGCCTTGTGGACACTGAAGTTAGTCGTTACGCAAAAAAAATTGCAGCCCGTGCATCATGTTCAAGGCAACTACTGTTATTTATTGGTAACAATGCTAGGTATAACATACTAAAATTTGAAATGAATTGGTTGGGTGAGAAAAAGTTACGGGCGAAAAAGCGTTTGGTGGAATACCTTTGAGCGCTACAGTATATGAGGGGTGTACTGGTATTGATCCAGGTCTAATTCACAGCAGCATCTGAAGCAAACGGTCGAAACAAAACCGCAACACAAATAAACTAAGGTGTTTCTTATGAGGTAATTTTTCGCCGCCCTCTTATTTCGAAAAGGATACCAATGGCTATCTGGAAGCGTTCCAATGGGGCCGCCCTAGGGTGACATGCGGACAACTGAGATGTTTTAACAAATTTCAAACTACTGAAGTGGTTGTACATAAAATGAGTGACATCTTTGTGATCAGAACTCTCAAATACCCCACAAGCAAGTCTTCTGCGATTCTGGTGAAAAAGTAATGGCGCTAAATAGCACCAACACCAAAAATGGATGTTCATAATATCTGTCAGTTGATTTATGCAGGTCCATCTCTTGGACCAGGAAACTAATAATCAATATCAGTCAATCAGTGAAACTGTATAAAATCTCCAGTTTATCTATATAACACAAAGAGCGCGTGAGCTTACCCATGTCTCTGAAGCCAACATGCACTCAGCAAGAGAGTTCACCGGCTGCTGCGGAGCGCAACTTCCGTAGTTTCCGAGTCTCATTTACTCTCTATCTACAAGTTATCTCTGAACGAAGGTGGTCCTTTCGTAAGGTTGAAACTTGGCGCAACAAAATTCCTCTTTTCATTGTGCGAACTTCCTCAACGGTGATTACGTTTTGAAATGGTGGACTCACGGCAGAAGAGTCAGTCAAGATTTTTGAAAAAAGAGTTGGCAGAGAGAGAAGAGGCGCTCTAGTTCAATCCTTAGCGCTTCGCTCTAGGTTATGCCTGATTAGAGTGAAAGCCTCGAAGGTTGAAAATTTGAATGGGAAGAAAAGCTTCCTGTTACTTTAGGATCGTAGCCCGCGATTCCCCTTACGCCTTTGATTTAGTGGCTTTCGAGCGGAACCTTCCTGGCGATCAGGATTCCCGCTCATCGTTCCGGAAATGTTCTCTCTGGGTGGAGGGCAGTGCTCATCTCGGAGGAGCACTTTGTAGCTCCTGGACGTGTAAACTACTGCGAAGCTACGAAGTGGTAAATAGTGGAGCTTGTGAGACTGTGATTTTGTGAAGACTTGTAAGCATGTTTCGTTTCGCCGCTTTACAAGAGCTTGAAAGTCTTGCCAAGGAAACAGAAGAAACCATCGAAACAGCAAAATATCCACCCTCTGTCTCCCCTGAGGCGAACAGCGCCAGTTTGCTTTTAAGGGAAAGCGATTTTTATGGTGCGGTGACTGACATAAAGCGCCACAACCTCACAAGGGAGACCCAGCAGGTGCGAAAGCACCACTTTGGGATAGAACATCTTTCAACACTATGTGAGTGATGAATGAAGGTTTTGCCCATCATGATCTCCGCAAGATTGTCACGTCAAAGCCACGTCGTGGGAAAGCCTTTCCAAGGATACTCATCTTTGCGCACAACTTCGTGTGGTTTCGGGTCCAGCCATGTCGTTCGGAGAATAAAGCCATTCTTCAAGGCAAGCACATTCGTTGGAGTGCATTCCTTTTGTACAAAAAAGCTCCTTGAAGCAATAAAGAAGAAATCAACAGCCAAGAATGGGCACTATTTACCCTTTACTGCCCCAATCATCGAAAATCTGGCCAGTTTTGACCGACTTTTCCGTTTGCAGAATTGGCTAAACATTTGTCCCCTTGTGAATTTGGGCTTCTAAATATGAATATCACATCCGTTCGACTCGAAACCTCCCGGCGCTCTCGCCAGCGCCAAAATACCCCAAGTCACCGGCGCCTGTAGCGCGGGCGCCAAGAGATTTTCGGCCAAGCGGATGTAATATTCGTTTTCAAGAGGTTACCCCAGGAGACAACATTCGAGCCAAGTCGAAAAAACTCGATCAAAAAACTGGCTCGATTCCGGGTGATTTGGGCAGTATAGGGTAAATAGTTGCCCAAGGAATGTTCGGCATGGAATCGTCCACAGTGGCTCCATTCGTTCAGAAACATTCTTTGGCGGCATTCTCGAGCACAAGAGTTATGCAAAAATGCTTTTTAATGCATAGAGACCATTGTAGAAAAAATGCAAAACAGAAAACGCATCAAGGATCCAAACCCTCGACAATGTGACCGCGAGACCTGCAACGTATCCACTCGGCCACGCTGCTTCGAGGCTTCACGCCGTAAATTCGTATTGAGTGCACTATGCTCCCCCTGAAAAGGCCCCGTAACTTTGTTCTGGGAGGTCCGCAGCAGATATGGAAGACGGTTTCGTAATCCCCGTCCGAAGACCCTTCAGTCGGTATACATCTCATTTCAAATGGCCACTTCGACCTACCATCCTTTATTTATTTATTTATTTATCCATTTATTTCCTTTATCCGTTTATTTATTTATTAGAGGGGTGTTCGTCATATGGAGACACCTGTCATGAGTGGGATCCTGTGGGGGTGTACAACTTTCTTAAAAGATTCTTACTTCTCCCTTGTCTCGCCCTGAGGCACACTCGCCTGTGGGGTCGCCTCACTTTGTTGCTCGCTCGCTGACTCCTGACCTCTCGTTGACAGACACACACTGACTGTGAGCCAAATATTGCATGGAAAGCAGCAGGCACCAAAAAATTAGAAAAGAATTAAGGTTCAACTAAAATAATTAACTAATTAAAAATTAGATCCTTTGGTAGTTTAGAAATCGAGAGAACTCACTAAACCCATGGATCGAACTGAAATGTGACAGCATCTAACTTGCAATAGCAGTTTAAATGAGCAAAAAGCGCATGTAATGTGAATTTTCGTGAAATATTCAAGTGGAATAGCATAGAAAGCGTCCTAAAGATCATTAATTTTGACGTTTCACAAGGATTTGAGCGTATAAACTCACTCGGCTAGATTGCTTCTGGCTTACGCGCAGGTTGATTCGTGTACTATGACCTCTAACCTTTTAATTGTTATTGATCTTTCTCAGCAGCATCACACCTGATTAATGGTCATCGCTAATACACTCGAAATCCCTGAGATGTGGTAAGCTGGCCACGTACTTCGACCATCCACGGCAGTGGGTGTGTCTGTCTTTTGAGGATATATTTAATTTTGATGCAGTTGTGTTCCTGTCTCTGTCCAACACAGAACACAGGACAGCTCTCGAAACGAGATATCCCACGAGTAACCTGTTCTATGCCACGTGCCAATGCCACGCCTACTCCGTCTCAGGGATAAGGAGTGTAAGTATTTGGGTGCACTAAAGCAGAAAACCTCTCTTGTTGATGTTTTTATGCCTCATTGGAGAAAAAAAATGAATCGAGGATATCGTCCCGAAGCATTCACAAACTTTTTCTCCTTCCACAAACTCTGGGAAGAATTCCGAAAGCATTCAATATTACAAAACACCAGTGCTTGCCTATATGTCACATTCCTGTGCGAATGATTTGTGAGCAGTTCTCAGCAACTTTGAACAGCTTTCAACCCAAAAGAACTTGAGCATTTTGCTCTCGAAACGCACCTCACACAACGTTTTTGCGCAAACGAGTACAGTATTATTGCTCGTTAGGGTTTTGTTTTTAGAAGTAGTTGGAGCATGTTTATGAGCTCCAGCTACTTCTGAAAGCAAATTCCTAGCGAGCTTTAGCTTTTCAAAACTTCTCGGAATTTCGATTTCTTGTAAGTTTTATCTGTGTATTGCGTGATTTCTTCAGTCCTGCTTATTAATGGGATTTCTTCAATTGTTATGATCTAATAGTCAAGTCGAGAAAAGGTCAGGAGCCAGAGAGGAACCACTTAAGTAAGGCGACCCTACAGGCCATTCTGCAACAGGGCATGATAGGTGCAGAGTGTGAATGCTTCAAGAACACCACACACCCATTCTGTGGCTATGGCGGCCTGTCCACCTTCAAGAAAAATTGCCTTCAAAAGTTCACATTTTGGTACATGTCCACTTCCATTATTTTCATTTCAGCTGTTATGGGAATTCAAGGATTGTCATGGTCTTATCAACTTACCGAACAATGAAGGATACGTTCCTGTGATGCTGGCAATTCGAGCAGCGAATCCTCGTTGCTTTGCCACTCTTCTCAATTTTGGTGCGGAGTTGAGTATGAGAGTTCACGGCCGCAATCCTCTTTTTGAAGCCATGCAAAGCAAGGGAAAAAACACCGAGTAGGTCGTACGTTTTAATTCCATATGTGGCTTCCCTGTTGACACCTTTGCTGTTTCTCAAAAGGTTGTTGCCTTCTCCTCACACCAGTCGGCTCGTCGGCTGACGCCTGCGCGCCTCCTGCGGTACGGCCATTCTTTTCCGCCTATACCTTCTTTGGTACGTTTGAATACTTAACTAATACCCGGCTTTTCTCTCCTTTCTCTCTCTCACTTTACTACTGTCTATGAAATGTTAGAAGCATTCATCACAGTGCACAGATGAAAGAAAAGGTGAGCATTTGTTGAGTATTGAGACATACAAGAGAAGATGGGCGCGGCGAAGCATGCCTTCCTGAGAAGTCGCTTTTTACCAGAAAAGAGGCGCACCGGCGCCAGCCGGCGATGCACCTGCGATGGTCTTAGTCGAAGTCATGGCTGCCCATCCAATGGAGTTCTATTTTTAGCGTTTCTTTAACCTAGGGTGTTTGTGCGCCGGCCTTCGTGGCGCGGGCGCCAGCCTGTTTCGAGCCAAGCGGGTGTGAGTTCGGGTTTAGAAGGTCGAACTATTTTTGGAAAGGAACTTCAGTCCAATCTGCCCTTGTGGACCTTTCGTTGCTCTGTTTTGAACGGTTGAGCTTACACTTTTCATTTACGACCACTTAATAGCTAGACTTACTGCCATTCCATTCACTTTGACAGTGTAGTGCTAGCATTTTGTACCGGAGTGTTTTTTAATAAGTTTCATATATTTTTCCTGGTATGCTGACAGTTTCACTAGATTCATACCAATTAGTGAGAAGCTAACTGACCTCTCATCAAATCGAGGCCCTATTGCAGTTGAGCACAACGTTCCACTGCTTGATATGATCGCTTTTCTCGTTAAATAATGTCTCGCACCAATGGGATTCATGCCAGTTTATACTGACCCCTGTCCGCGTGTTCCCCTGGTATGAAGTGTACCTTGGCATAGTCCCGCTCGCAACGGCTCTGTCATGCACTTCTCAACCAATGAGCACTCGCTGACCTCATCCCACTTTTTTTATTAGCGTCTGGAGTGCTCTGTAACCGTCTTACAGATTGTTCGTTTCGCTCCGCTCACCTCAGCGCAGGCCCCGCCCACAACGTTTGTTTCTCACACTTCTGAACTACTGACCCTCTCGCTGACGTTGACCCACTTTTTCCGAGTTCTGCAGTGCTCTGGAACTGTTTTACATATTTTTCATTTGGCGCTGCCACAATGTGTGCACCCCCCCCCCTTCTTAATTGCTGACCCCTCGCTGACCTTAACCCACCTTTCCTGATGTCTGGAGTGCTCTGAGACCGTTTTACTGATTTTTCGTTTGGCTCCGCTCACAGCGCAGGCGCAGCCAACAACGTCCCACAACTTTTCTTTCCCCATTTTTCAGTCGCTGATCTTAACTCACTTTTTGTGAGCGTCTGAAGTGCTCTGGAAACATTTCGCAAATTTGGTTTGGGCCCCGCCCGCAAGGTGTGCGTCGCGTACTTCTCAGTCGCTCACCCCTATACTCGTACATAGTACTGGGCCGTGATGGTTTTTTTTTCAGCATCATCAAGGCGATTGTGGAAGCGTCTCCTGATCTCGTCACCGAAAGGGACTCATCTGGAAACACGGCGCTTCATGTTGCAATGTACAAAACTTCTCTCATGGGACTGTTGCTTCTGAAAAACAAGGACATCGACTTGAACGCTAAAAATAACGCTGGACAAACGGCTCTCCACATCTTCACCCATAAAGTGGGCGTTGAGCTTTTCACGCGCGTCCCTCTGTTTCTGTTTTTGCCTGACGTAGCATCTATCTGCAGGGTGATATTGGCTTGATGATTACTATGTTATCCTATTGCTGTGATATAGATGCTGAAGACTATGACGGAAACACTGCGCTTCATGTCGCAGTTTCACGAAGGAATATCGAGGTGATAAGCTTCCAAGTGAACTTTTCAATTTAACATTCTCGTCATCTCAGACTTCATGTAGTTGTTGTACTTTTCTCCTTCATATGGTTCTGCTTTTGAATTTGATGTTGAGTTCTGAAGACAGCTCTCATTACTTACCAGCCAGCTGGCGCGGGCTGGAGCCGGCGCGCCTCCTTCTGAGACACGGCAAACTTCGCCGGGAAGGCGCTGCTCCGCCGCGCTCACCCACTTTCCCACATTTGAATACCACCTAGTATCCGGCTTTTCTATCTGAACAGATGGTCAACATTCTTTGACCAATAGCATCATACCTGCTATTTTCAACACTATTTGTATGGAATGGTGGTAAGGAGCGTTCATTAAAGACAGGTGAGCGAAAATCGGGTATTGTAGAGCATCCTACTATATATAAACGGCAACGTCTGTTGTGTCTGTTTGTCTGTCTGTCTGTCCGGAAATTCGGAATCACCTGAAGAGCCAGTTGGAGGGGGCGGGTCAAGGGTGGGTTGGGTAGGGCATGGGCCAAGATGTACGGAACACACATGAACTGAGCTAAGCCCCCCTGTGGGCGGGGCATGCGCACAGTTGTGAGCTACATATTTCAAAAATTCGTAGTTCGGTTCTAGAAGATCCCGGAGAGCGGAAATTGTGGGAAACGATAAGCAGTCAGTTGGCGGATGAAATGAGGGAGTCACACCCGTGATGGGCGAGGCGTGCTATAGGTGGGCGGTGCTCGCTACAAAACTTTCAAAAATTCGTAATTCGGTTCTAGAAGATCCCGGAGAGCGGAAATTGTGGGAAACGATAGGCAAACAGTTGGCGGACGGAATGAATGAAGCACACCGCGATGGGCAGGGCGTTCGCCGAAGTGAACGGTGCCGGGGACAAAAACCCTCAAAACACATCCGAAAAACTCCAGGAAATGGGGAGTAAGTGAAACTGAGCAATGGTTGGGCAGATGAAGTTAGTTAGGGATAACCGTAGGGAGTATACCAAGTGGTTGGTGCCGTCGGCAATAATTCATAATTCGGTTCCCAAACACACAGCTGTGGCATAATAGCAGTGAACGGTATGTGCCATAGTGAATGGGAGTCAAAATCAAGGGTTCGTAAATGAGTATGTTTATTTATTTGTTTATTTACCCACTATTTACTGCACAACAATTTAGGCAAATGCACCCTGCTTCAGTTCATTCACTAATATAAACGGCAACGTCTGTCTGTCTGTCTGTTTGTCTGTTTGTCTGTCTGTCTGTCTGTCCGGAAATTCGGAATCACCTGAAGAGCCAGTTGGAGGGGGCGGGTCAAGGGTGGGTTGGGTAGGGCATGGGCCAAGATGTACGGAACACACATGAACTGAGCTAAGCCCCGCCCACTGTGGGCGGGGCGTGCGCACAGTTGTGAGCTACATATTTCAAAAATTCGTAGTTCGGTTCTAGAAGATCCCGGAGAGCGGAAATTGTGGGAAACGATAAGCAGTCAGTTGGCGGATGAAATGAGGGAGTCACACCCGCGATGGGCGGAGCGTGCTACAGGTGGGCGTACTC